AGCAAATGGCTGCAATATAACAAAGAGTGAAAAATTTAAGGGGGTCTGAATACTTTCCGTACCCACTGTATGTGCAGATTGTTAAGTAAATAAAATTAAGATCCAGATGACTGCAAATGAACTTAAATAACTATTAAATATAAATCTGTAGTGGAACTATATAGACATAGAAGTTATAACCATAACAGTTCAACCTGAAAAAAAAAAAAACTACACATGCAAACACGCAAGTTAAAGGTGCACACACACACGTTCCCACACAGTTTGACCAAAGTATTTATTTAATCTTTACAGTTGTTAATGATTAAAGGATTAATAATATATATATATATTTAAAAATAATTCAGATAAATTAATCATTATTAAATAGATTTGTGTACCTATTTGGCCAATTCATTGAAGTAAATGGATTCAAAACACTGATTCACTCACAAAAATTACTTCACTAAAGTTATTTGTGAAGTTGTATCAATTGAAGATTGTACCAATTGTCATGACTTTTTCAGCTCTAAAAAAAAATAAAATAAAAAATTTAAATTACCTGATATTTTTAGATATTCCAAAACATTATTCCAAAATTATCCTATTAATGACCTGATGCAGCATATGTGTGTGTGTGTGTGTGTGTGTGTTTGCTCTTCCTTCAGACAAGGCCTTATTGACTGCAGGTCATAAATATGCTGGTTGGGAAACTTCCTTCCTGCCTTTCAGGCTATACATGCATGCACTTTCTTTTCTCTTTTCCAGTTTCTCATTCCAGTATGGTGTAAAAATACTTAGTAAAATGATATTCGTACATACCTAAGAGAGATGAAAGTGACTGTTAACTTGCAAACTAAGTGAATAACAATGTATAAAATGCAAACAAAACATTTAAAGAGACAGTTCACCCCAAAATGAAAATTCTGTAATCATTTATTCCCCTAAAGTTCTTCCAAACCTTTAACAGTTGCTAGTAGTCACTGACTTCCATAGCATGAAAAAAAATACTATGGAAGTCAACGGCTACTGTCAACTGTTTGGTTACCAACATTCTTCAAAATATCTTCTTTTAAGTTCAACAGAAAAAAGAAACTCAACTTGTAAATAATGACAATTTTCATTTTTGTGAGAACTATCCCATTAATGTAATAGTATCACAAATCATGTCCATTTCAAGGCAAAACAGTGTTTGCAATAAATGAAAACACATGATCTGCTAAGGTTTCTTAATTGTGGTGTGGTTCAATTAATAAAAGCAACTTTTAACCCCAACACTGGCTTCTCGCGCTTTCATTTCATTAAGCATACAGCAAATTGAACCAGGAAGACTGGTTCACCCCTTTATAGTTTTCAGTAGTTACATTATGAAAAACTAACACAGTTCTTAGTTCACAATCAATATTGAGAAATAGAGAAATTAATGAGAGTCAGTATGAATGTTAGAGATCAATGCTCCTACCTGAGTGTCCGTTGGACGTGTTGCTGCATTACATTCAGAGTCATCCATGACAGAGCCGTATGAGCCAACCACACACTTCACAGCTCTCATCTGATAGCCCGGGCCGCATGTGGTGGTACACTACACACAAATAAAGAGGGAGGTCAGTTAGGGGCAGTATCCTATTTAATGTTGCATAGTAATGCCTATGATTTACCCAAGAGAATAAGATGAAATTTAAGACTGTTCACTATTTGCCTGCTGGCATCAGTCCAGCACTGATTTGATAAGCACCCACATGGGCAACCTGAGACATGGGCCAGTAATTTGTCCACATTTCTCCTTTTTTTTAATCTCTTTTCCTCACATTATGAAAAACTAACACAGTTCTTAGTTCACAATCAATATTGAGAAATAGAGAAATTAATGAGAGTCAGTATGAATGTTAGAGATCAATGCTCCTACCTGAGTGTCCGTTGGACGTGTTGCTGCATTACATTCAGAGTCATCCATGACAGAGCCGTATGAGCCAACCACACACTTCACAGCTCTCATCTGATAGCCCGGGCCGCATGTGGTGGTACACTACACACAAATAAAGAGGGAGGTCAGTTAGGGGCAGTATCCTATTTAATGTTGCATAGTAATGCCTATGATTTACCCAAGAGAATAAGATGAAATTTAAGACTGTTCACTATTTGCCTGCTGGCATCAGTCCAGCACTGATGTGATAAGCACCCACATGGGCAACCTGAGACATGGGCCAGTAATTTGTCCACATTTCTCCTTTTTTTTTATCTCTTTTCCTCATCGCTGACTTGACTGCAACAAGGTCAAGCTTGTGTGGCAGCATTTGCAGCTAGATCGCATATGCTTCAGTAAAGCACCTCAAACATGTATTTATCATGATTGCTTAATCTATGCAAGAGTGATGTCTAATCTCTATCATAATTTAGGACAGTTTGCCCACACAAATGTTACAAATTGTGTGATTACCCTCTGGGAGATCTCTGGAAAAAAAACAATTTCTAAAGACAGCCATAAACTGCTCAAGTGGATAGAAAACAGATTGTCCATGAATGGATGATATTCACATGGTGTATGCAAGTTTAAAAAATCATTTAAGATGAATTTTGCAACAACAACAAAAAAAAGATTTTAAAAAATGAAACACCACATTCTGCTCAACTGTATGATTGGCAATAGGCTAAAAAAAGACTATTATATTCAATACTCTGAAATTACTTGATTTTCTTTTCTTTTCTTTTCTTTTCGACTAAATGTTGTTCTTTCTAACTTTCTGTTCATCTAAGAATCCTGAAAGAAAAAAATAACAACCACTGTCTCCACAAAATATTTAAGCAACTGTTTTCAACGTTAATAATAATGATCATAATCATAAATGTTTCTTAAGCACGAAATCAGCATATTAGAATGATTTCTGAAGGATCATGTGACACTGAAGTCTGGTGTAATGCTGCTGCAAATTCAGAGTTGCCATTATGAAACAAATGTAATTTTTAAATATATTAAAATAGAAAACAGTTGTAATACTTCTTCAGTATTCTCTGAGATGTTTCAGACTTTTCATGGCCTTGAATTCTGAAAAGCAAATGAAGCACATTTTTAAACCTTTCAAGGATCCACATACCTTATAAAACAGCATAGTTATGTTTGTTTCGCATGTGTTACTTACACACCAGCACAAAAGTACCAAATGCTGTTCTTTGTCTGGTCCCTAACCTTGTTCAATTTTTGTGGTTGCTTTCCACCCACACTGCAGCTGTGATAATCTATTTACAATATCTATGACTGCACTGACTCCTGGAAATTACATTGCATTCATCACAATACACTTGAATTTCCAATTCACAGGCATAAGCATCAAATATACCTCATGTAATAGCTGACACACCTAAACATGACGCACCAAAACAATGTTTTATTCACAGCAATGAAATAAATAGTTTCTCTCACCTGTCCCCAGGGTCCCACCTGCCAGGATGCACATTCTTGCTGTTGGCAGGCCTGTACCGACTCTGGTTTGGATGAGTCACAGAAACGGTCATCCAAACGCTCTTCTCCAAACTGACACCAAGTCTGGCGGTGCTTATAGCCCTTGCCACATGTCACTAAACACTACAAAATGAATTCCAAACTAGCATTAGGATAAGTCGTAATGGACGACTACATTTTTACTTTGAAGGTTTAAGAATAGTCTGCATGAATCCAGATTAAATTTGATGCTGCCCATATTTTCAAGGGATGCTTTGGTCAGTGTTTACCTCAGACCAGTCTCCAGTTTTCCATTGAGGACACAGAAACTCATTACAAGGCTGAACTGTGAGCTTTTCTTGTGGGTTGCACTTGCTTTCGTCATCAGCTGACTTTCCACATACCGCACTCCTACCACGTGCTCCTCCTCCACAGCTCCTGGAGCACTAGATAACCAAGGAAAAAATCCTCATGGTAAGTTATATGTCAAATATATACAGTCCACATTTTTACAAGTACATCAATATGTTCAACAAGAGCTGATTTGAGACCAATGAGGTTTTTCGCACCTCAGACCAGAGGGAGTACTCCCATCCACCAGGGTTGCAGTCTCCATGGCACATCTCCTTGTCTTCAGGCTTGCGCTGGCTGCTGCAATACCGGTCGTCAACCTTTTGGGTTTTCCCATCCAACCTGCTCTGTTTGATGCAGTAAATGTACAAAGTCCGGAAACCCAGACCACATATGGCTGTACACTCGCTTTTGTGAACAACCTGCCACCTGTAAATTGAAGAAATGCAACAAGGTTAAACCCAATGTTGCATATATATGAAAAAAAATAAAAACAAACAAACTATCATTCAAAATTTTGGGTGAGATTGTTTAATGTTTTTGAAAGAAGCCTGTTATGCTCACCAAGGCTGCATTTATTTGATCAAAAAATAAAATACAGTAAAAACTGTAATATCGCAAAATATTATTACTATTTAAAATAACAGTTTTTTTATTTTTATATATTTTAAAGCACCATTTATTCCTGTGAAGGCAAAGTTGAATCCACAGGAGCCATTACTTCAGTCTTCAGTGTCACTGATACTTCAGAAATCATTTTAATATGCTGATTTAACTGTGAGCTTTTCTTGTGGGTTGCACTTGCTTTCGTCATCAGCTGACTTTCCACATACCGCACTCCTACCACGTGCTCCTCCTCCACAGCTCCTGGAGCACTAGATAACCAAGGAAAAAATCCTCATGGTAAGTTATATGTCAAATATATACAGTCCACATTTTTACAAGTACATCAATATGTTCAACAAGAGCTGATTTGAGACCAATGAGGTTTTTCGCACCTCAGACCAGAGGGAGTACTCCCATCCACCAGGGTTGCAGTCTCCATGGCACATCTCCTTGTCTTCAGGCTTGCGCTGGCTGCTGCAATACCGGTCGTCAACCTTTTGGGTTTTCCCATCCAACCTGCTCTGTTTGATGCAGTAAATGTACAAAGTCCGGAAACCCAGACCACATATGGCTGTACACTCGCTTTTGTGAACAACCTGCCACCTGTAAATTGAAGAAATGCAACAAGGTTAAACCCAATGTTGCATATATATGAAAAAAAATAAAAACAAACAAACTATCATTCAAAATTTTGGGTGAGATTGTTTAATGTTTTTGAAAGAAGCCTGTTATGCTCACCAAGGCTGCATTTATTTGATCAAAAAATAAAATACAGTAAAAACGGTAATATCGCAAAATATTATTACTATTTAAAATAACTGTTTTTTATTTTTATATATTTTAAAGCACCATTTATTCCTGTGAAGGCAAATTTGAATCCACAGGAGCCATTACTTCAGTCTTCAGTGTCACTGATCCTTCAGAAATCATTTTAATATGCTGATTTGGTGCTTAAGAAACATATCTTAATGTTGTGCTGCTTAATATTTTTCTTTCAAGATTCTTTAATTAATAGAAGATTTAAAAGAAGAGCATTTGTTAGAAATTGAAATCTTTTATAACATTATAAATGCCTTTACTGTCACTTTTGATCAATTTATTGTGCCTTTGCTGAATAAAAGTAATAATTGTGACCTGTGCTAGCAAAATGAGTCACAATGAGCAAATTTTATGTTCACATTCTCCATTAAGAGACCTTCAGAATGATGTATTATTTGTTGAAATCAGACGAAAAATGACTGAGCTACACCCGTTTGATGTTGATAGAGTCAGCAAAGTCAATTTTGAGAAAAATCAAGTTTTTTCTTTCAAGCAGTCGGAAGTGCCTTTGTGCGCATGCTTTGGATGAGAGTCAGCATGAGAAGCGAGCAGAGAAAAGATACTCCTCTCGGAAAACTTACAAATAAAGGTAATTAAACATCTAAAATTATTATTTGGAGCATTGGGATTACTAGACAAGGGCTTAATGAACCCGTTTTTTGTGAAAACCTCAAAATCTACTAAAATCAACATTTTTCACTTTTTTTGCCTGTAGCTCAAAATTAGCCCGTGTGCATTCCGACTCATTTTGCCAGCACAGGTCACAATTTATTTCACACATACACACACACACTCTCACTAACTCCAAACTTTTTGACATTAGTGTATATTTTGGTTAAACAAGACACTAAAAGTTTATAAAACTAGTCAATGTGGACATGTACCTGAGCTCACAGTCTGTGTTGCATGGCTCAGAGATCACAGCTGGTTTGGGAGAGCCATGGCACCGCTGATCAGACACAACCACTCGATCCGACTCACGACTGCACATGATCTTCCTCTTGCGCTCTCCTGAAGCACACGTCTGATGTTGATAGAGTCAGCAAAGTCAATTTTGAGAAAAATCAAGTTTTTTCTTTCAAGCAGTCGGAAGTGCCTTTGTGCGCATGCTTTGGATGAGAGTCAGCATGAGAAGCGAGCAGAGAAAAGATACTCCTCTCGGAAAACTTACAAATAAAGGTAATTAAACATCTAAAATTATTATTTGGAGCATTGGGATTACTAGACAAGGGCTTAATGAACCCGTTTTTTGTGAAAACCTCAAAATCTACTAAAATCAACATTTTTCACTTTTTTTGCCTGTAGCTCAAAATTAGCCCGTGTGCATTCCGACTCATTTTGCCAGCACAGGTCACAATTTATTTCACACATACACACACACACTCTCACTAACTCCAAACTTTTTGACATTAGTGTATATTTTGGTTAAACAAGACACTAAAAGTTTATAAAACTAGTCAATGTGGACATGTACCTGAGCTCACAGTCTGTGTTGCATGGCTCAGAGATCACAGCTGGTTTGGGAGAGCCATGGCACCGCTGATCAGACACAACCACTCGATCCGACTCACGACTGCACATGATCTTCCTCTTGCGCTCTCCTGAAGCACAAGACATACACAAGTTCAGACACATGTTTGTGATCTAGACAAAGAAAGAAAAAAGAAAGTTCCTCATTGCATTCTCCAAATTTCCAAGAAACACTGAACTGGATGACCCAGCCAGCATTCAACGTCTGGTTCAAGTTTACCCAATTCTAAACTGACATTTCTGGCAACTGTTTCACAAAACAATATGTGTTGCTTCTTTCACACCCACCTTGGCACAAAAGACTGCAATCCTGCCACGGGCCGTACGCATCCCAGAAAAACTGCTGAGGTTTGTCCTCTATCGGAATATTGTAGGAATACCTGACATCAGGGTTGTAGAGGTTACCTACGGATAGCACCTAGTTGGAAAAGATCACATATAGACCAAAAGTATGATGTCACAAAGAGTTCAAAAATGATTGACACGTTCTTAAAATGTGAAGTTATAATATTTCACAATGTAAGACAACATACAATTTAAAATTGAATTCACTGAAGCCATATTACCTGGATAATAATCTCCTCTTCTATGCGGTCAGTGCAGTTGATTCTCTCAACAACATGGTCAGAGCCGCTGTATTCAATAACAGCATTCCCTACTCTGACTTCCCTTTTAAACATACTGACCACAAAATCTCCATTAAGTAAATATTCTCCACGGCCGTTGGACAAGGCTGCAAAACAAAAAAGAAACAACATGCATGCTTTATTTTCTTTATGTTCAAGCACAAAAAGCAAATATATATTCAGGCATGTGACAGGATCAACAATCGAATAGCATCCATTTGTTTTAAACACAAATTTGATTCACTACAAGACCTGCATGACCTAAGGAATAAAACATTTTCATTTACAGTCAGATTTAGCAACGGTCAGGGCAGATTAGGCTAATCAGGGTAAAGAAATCCAGTTTTCCATGAAAAGGCCATGTCTTGCTCTACTGAAGTCAGTATGCTTCAAATATGCACACTAATGTGATTATGTAGCTAATTTCCTGAGTTACTTTCCTCACTACTTTACACCGGCCAACCCTTGTTTCTCATACATAAACACACACATATAAGCCAAATACACATAGGCATGCACAGATATCAATAAACACACAAGCACAGCTCAGTAATCTGCTGAAAACAGCACATATTTCCTTAGGTTTGTAGAGTTCAGAAGCATTAACACAAAAACGTCTATGAAAACTCTTGCAAAAGCCTCTTGAAAAGCTTGCAGTAAATCTTGACATCGGTTTACTTATGACACATCAAAGCAAATACATAGGATTCATTTTAAATTAGGATTGTTCATAATCAATATGCATATCAATTTATCATTTGACAATTGTCATGTAATGATGCGTAAATCATCAGCACAAACTGAACTCTAACATGCTCTATAGACTCCTGACAAAAATATTACATTTTTACAAGGGATGCATGATATTTTGATGCCATCCATTTTGTTATCTGTTGATTTTAGATTATTAACATTTAAAATTGTATCATCCAATGTTGGATATTTAATTATATACTCGTTTGTCATTACTTTTGCCAACATCTAATGTTCATTTAAAGTAAATCTTTAAATAATTAAACTAATAACTTAACTTTTTAAAATGCAATATTATCTTAAAATCAAATCTCAAAATAACTATCCATTTTCATACTTTACATTATGATGTTGTACGATGCCCTTGTAGCATTTAGCATTTTATAGATGTATTTTATTAAAAAATACATATGTTTTTAGGTTTTATTTTTTATTTAATTAAACAAAATAGTATATAATTGAAATTTAATATGAATATAACATGAAAATAAGTATCAGCATCCGTATTGGCCACAATTATCAGTGCATCTCTAATATTTATTATTACATTGTCAAGTTTTATTTCAATCCTCTGAACTACCATTGAACTACAACTGAAATGAAAAAAAAAATCATATGCTTTTGTATTTAACGTCTAATATGATTTCTTGCCTTACCGAGGTAGTTATCGTCCTCTGGTTTCCCTGAATAGCTGTGTTGTCTCACATCTATGTTTGTAGCACCGCTGGGAATTCGCACCACAACATTGTAACCTATAAAAAAGCAGGAATCAATAAAATGCTCTTCCAAAATGATTAATATAGAGTAAATATATTATTGTTCTTTTGGTCTGTAATTGGGCTGAACTGCTTGGACCTGAAGTGAATTTAAGCTAAATTTGAATTAAGCTACTCTGGGTTACTTTGACTAACATGAAAAGAACTGATCTGAACTGCACTAAACTGACAACCTGTGTCACCTACCATAATGCACTATGTTGAACGTTCCTGCCACAGTCTTGCAAGATGAGTTATCCCCACCACACACTCCACACTTATCTCTCCTGGCTTTGGAGTTCAACACGTGGTCACATCCTGCTTGCTGCAGAAACAGGATGTGGAATTCATTCAAAGGACACTTGGACAGGATTATACAGGACTACTTTTTCAAATTCTGCAGGATATTCATTGATTTAAGGTGCATTTTCACACCATACAGACACACAAATGCACCCACCCTGCACAGGCCTTGCACACAGATGTCATTGGTGTCAGGCCCGCACTGCGTGCCATCAATAACTCTGTCCCTGAGTTGGTAGTAAGCTGTACTGCCCGCCACACGACAGAATAGCTTACAGCGATCCTTCATCAGAACTACAGCACACAGAGCCATGAGAAAGAGTTAATACAGTGTGACTTCAGCCTTACTGTATTTAGCACATTGATAATATATTTCTCATCATAGATATTGTACTACACAATTCCCAAGGTAATTAAAATGTAATTTGGTTTGGTAATTTAATTTTGAAAGTATGGAACCTTTGAAATCATTGTCTCCACCATGTCTCAAATAATGAGGGAATTCTGGAGGATTGTTTAATATGGGTTATACATACTGAAAGCAATTATATATTAGTTTAACAATTAGTTTGAACTGAAACAATTAAGAAACTTATTCTATAGGGACATTCTCAACAAATACTGAGGGCATATGAGCAGAAATTACTGGCAAACATCAAGTGAGAAATCTGCAGTGTTGTTTTAGTATTATTTATTTACTATTACAGTATTTATTAATATTTAGAATTAGCTTTTATTTTTTATTTTTATATTTTCATTTTCGTTTTATTTTTTTTTTGTCATTTTTAAAATATTTCTAATTATAACTGTTTATTTACAAGTTGTTTCAGTGGAACACATATAGAAGATATATGGAAGAAAAGCAACAGACCTTTTTTGGTCATTTTTCAGAGTTTAACACACATGGTCACTATGATCTTTCATTGTTTGAAAAAACCTGTGATTCCCCCTCCGCAGGTCCTTGAGCATGTGCCAAAGGGACTCCAGCTGCCCCAGGCCCCTTCAACTGGAACAGATTCATGCTCTTTATGGATGCACAGGCCATGTTTACAATGCTGCAAACGAGAAGCAAACACAGAAAAGATGTTATAAAGTCCACCAACTAGAATGACAAGGAATGATGTTGATACACAGACAACATGACAATTCAAAGTGTGTTTTGTTTCACTCAAAGCCCTTGTCAAGCATCTGTTTGGCTGAATTATCTATTCTACCGTCTCATCTATTTTAATTTCAACAAACAACAACAAAGTTTGTTTTGGGAGTTAAAAACAGCTTGCCAAAGTGAACTTTCAAGGAAAAGTTTGCTCCAGTCGGTAAACGCCTTCAAACTACCATTGGTCCATGGCAACTGAACAAACTGCTTTATAGCAGAAATTACATTTGTAATTTTTACTGAAAGTCACACTTCTTTTTACCTCATAACGAAGAACAACAAAGAACTACGTTCTGAGTATATCGTGGCCTTTAGAAACCCCTTTCATATGATTCATGACAATGTTTTTCAATGCAATGAACTTTATGGAATGAAGCGCCAAGCTTCAGCACTATTCCGCCGTCAAACTGCACATGGGTCAAGCTGGGTGATGCGAAGCTCAGATGTAAAACAGTTTCACCCAGTGATTACCAGACAATCTGCATATCATGGGTGGTCCCAGTGAGAAAATCAAAACAAGCTGCACGAGACTGATCCTGTGCAGATACATCAAGCTGTATGGATCTGCATATCATGGGTGGTCCCAGTGAGAAAATCAAAACAAGCTGCACGAGACTGATCCTGTGCATATCTAGATACATCAAGCTGTATGATACCACACTGAAAGGATATGACATTCAGAGAAAAACAATGCATGGCAGCAATTCAATGTTGAGATACCTGGCAACCATGTAAAATTGCCCTTCTGTGATGCTATCTGCAATGCTTTTCATATGGCGGTCATGAGAGATGCACTGACATTCACAATCACTACCACTATGCAAATCTGACTTGAGTTCACAATCTGGGAAACATTGTAAAAGAGAGAAAGGGTCAAAACAGTATATTAGTGAGGACGAGTGTCATTGTGCAAGTGATTTGGTCGCTATTTGGAGGAAAAATGTGTTTGAAGTTGCACTGATGAATCTGCTTTTCATCTGCTTTGCAACTGCAAAAAACATATTTTGGACCTACACACAAATCACATATTGCACAGCAAACTCAAGCAACCAGCCAAGTGTATTATTGCTTCATAATAGAAAACGCTGTAAATCTTCTTTTTAAAGGGACAGTTCACCCTAAAACCTCACTCATGTCATTTAGCACAAAAGAAGATATTTTGGAGTTTGTTGTGGTCTAAACAAAATTGGAGCCCAATGGCATTTTTCTGAATATTTTCAAATTTTATGTACTGAAGTGCTTGCCTTTCCTGGAGAACACTCCGTCCCATCGGCCCATGGCATGTGTTGGGTCCGACAGCCACGCTGGACTCCTTCTGGACTGGTGCACCACAACCTCCTGCACTGTGTCTGCACAACATCCAAACACTTACTGTTAGCTTAAACAACACTTAAACACTCACACACAGCATTTGCACCGACGCCTGTTTTTTTTCTGCACATGTAGCAATGTCACTTTGATATTACTAACAAGCTCTACTACAGACTCTCTTCATGTTTTTTTATTAAAAACATCTCCAGAAATAATGTTGTGCAATTCCCTGAGGGATCTTCTCACCATATATGGGCACACCTGTGTCCCAGACCCAAATATCAGCTCACATTGTTTATTGACACTGTATATCTGTCCTGGCAGCTGCTGGGACAAACTGTATGGCCTAGAAACTGGCTCATCGAGCAAGCACTCACCATACCCTGTGCTAATGAGAAATGATAAACAAATGAGTTGAAGAAAAACAAAACAAACAAGACACAAACAACAGAAATGTTCTTAGTAAGTGACAGAAGACAAAAAAAATGAATCTGTTCCATTTGCTACTGATGACGTCGTTTCCATCTCAATTGAGAATGTTCAGAAGAAAACAAATGAATGTTGACACTGGACATGTGGAGCTCAAAATTGAGAGTTCAAGCCAACATCACAGGTTTACATACTCAAGGAACTCTGTGATGTATTTCCGACTACATTTGGACCACATCCATGGATTGGTGTAATAGTTGAGCGTAGGGGCCATCACATGTTGCCGGTTCTTGACTCCATCCTCTTTGCATTTGTTACTGTCATCGTGAGGCATGTTGAACCTGAGGGCATAATTGAAAACACGCATGCACACACACAAACAGGACAACATGATGAGCAGGTTCAGGACACATGTACAGGTGCATCTCAATAAATTAGAATGTCGTGGAAAAGTTCATTTATTTCAGTAATTCAACTCAAATTGTGAAACTCGTGTATTAAATAAATTCAATGCACACAG